AGCTCAAGTCTATTAAAACTTTGCTGCAAAAGAGGTCATTAGCACTTTACTTTAACAGATTATTAGTAAATAGTTTGTTTGTTTTATCTATTAAAGTAGCCAAATCCCTCTTTTTTGACACCTAGAAATGGACACGGGTGGGTCGCAACAAAAAATATAATGATGTAATATGAATGTATATAAACTGATTTACATTCAATCGTTTCTGTTTTTACTGAAATTTCTAATCAGTTATGTTCGACGAAATAAGCAAACAGTCCAAATTGAACAGCAGTCTTTGGCGTCTGGTTATTCCAGTCTACACCGGTAGTATTCTCATCTAATATTTAGCCCCGTTCATGGAGTTGCTTCATTACAAATGGAGCTCGAAAGCATTCTGGCACGCGATTCGTATGCAAATATTGAAATATTCATTTTGTCTTAAATATTGGATATTATATCAGAAACCCATCTTTTCTCGGTAAGATGACAAAATCAATGTTGATTTAAATTGACCAATAAGTCATGTTTGCAATGCCGAAGACTGAGGATTATATTGAGTTAAGGACTCGCCTCCTTTAACCACCAAACGTCCAGTCGACACAAACTAGGTCATTTAGGGACTAACATATGGTTCAATTTTATTTCTTCTAATTTGCTGGCGCGTAGGGGCTTTAGCAGTGGGAGGAAACCGGAGGACCCGGAAAAAACGCACGAGTTTGGACAGGCGATCGTACTCCTTGTCACATACAAGCGGGGAATCGGTTGACTCAATGACAGACCGTATGATACAACGCGTACGCACTAACCATTCGACCCCCCCCCCCCCCCCAAAAAAAACAGTAAAAAGGAAGCATGCATATTCTGGTCATTGTCTGCCATACTCACACGCAAAAATGCAATTTGTATGTCAATATGGTAGATAGATAGGTTTATTTGGCACAAACATATACAACATAATACATAAAATTATAATTTCTACCCCGCCCCCTTTTAAAATGGCCCTTGGTATTAATTATGCACGGTAAGGACTGTATACAGCCTAATAACCGTTGTATGCAGCTTTAGATGTAGAGTAAAAGAGATAGATATCTATATATGATATTTGTAGGAAACGCTCTATAGTCGTGATAAATGCTGTATTATATTTATTGTCAGCTTTTGTATAAAGCCCACCCACGATGGGCCACATACCATGAGCGTGTCCGTCGCAGTGGTTCATTGGATCCTTATTAGAACTCCATGAAATATGTTTCCTAAAAGCGTGTGTGGGGGGGGGGCTCTCGGGGGAGGGGGCAGGGGGTTTAGTCTTAGCCCAGTACAATTCACTTTATAATTGTTGGTATTCGGGGGGGCAGGGGGTTGGGGCGCAGCCCAATACAATTCAGTTTAAAATTGTTGGTATTCGGACATGGGATTAAGGGGGGAGGGGGCAAGTGGTCTAGCGTGCCGCGCTTCGACCTCTATCTAGCTGGCTGTGGTTTCGATCACTCGTGCGAGGGTATGTGGCTTGGAGATAAGGCTTCCTTCTCAATCTCGTTGGTTTACTCCGGGAACTCTGGTTTCCTCCCACAGGAAAGACCCCTGCACGTGCGCTAAGATAAAACAAATGAAAATAAGACTTGTCTGCGATATCACCTTCGGTGGAAGCGGGCGTTAAACACTAAGAACAACGACATGGGATTTCAGTAGCTTATAACAAAGTCATGTTAATACATTAATGGGAATGACGATCCATTGCTGTGGACAGGGCTGGGAGCAAGTTAAAATTATCTTTAACTAGTTAACGCGTTAAAATTTGAAAGTTAACGAGTTAATATGAGTTAATTATCAAAGCTCCTAAAACATGGTTGTTTTCGTACCCAACCTATTTCAGAGAGTGATCAGAAATTATTCTTGATCATCATTTAATTCTGGACTCTAAATCCAGGAATTAGGTGGCATTTTGACGGAAAAACGTTCATAAACAAATCGAATTTGGTGCTTGATTCAAGTGAGACTGGAGACCAAGTTATTTCGACCGAAGACTTGCGATCTGGTAGACGTAACTAAAGCGACAGCGGCAATGAGGTCTCTGGATGATATTTTGCTTGATTAGGCCCTTTCATAGGCCTGAATAACGATTTTCCAACGGAAAATGCATATATTTATGACGTCACAGTGTTAACGCGTTAATCTATGTCTATTAACGCGACAATCTCATTTATACGTTAACCAGTTAACAAGATAACTGCTCTCCGCCATGGCTATCAAGATGTCAGTTGTAGCATGCGACCTAAGGGTTTCTCTGAGATTTGTAAAACGTGCCTGGTTTTTACCTTATCAGTTGTGCAGGTCGGGGGCCTGACAAGGACAGCGCTGTCTAGTCGTTCTGATCGGATGGAAAACCGAGGTCCCGTGTACACATTGGTGTGTACGTAAAAGATCCCTTGGTAGTTGGAATTCGATATAAGAGATAGCGCCGCTGTCCGGGCAAAAATCCCCTCATAGCAAACTGTATGGTGTGTGCCCGTCTTCACTAGCCCAGACGAGGCAGAACAGTGGGACGTTAAACTTCATTTCATAAAACGTCCCAAGGTGTCAACAAGTTGAAAACAAATGGGAAGCGCTACTGGCAGATATGTATATAGTAAACAATCCATTGCTAGTATAATTTAACATCTATATCATACCTGGTTCCAAAAGTGATCAACAACTCAAAGATACTTTATTGGAAGATTAGATAAAGAGCTGACAGTTCTCACTATAGTAGTTAAAAACTAGAGGGTGTAAATGGAATATGCTGAAAATTTCAGTCAAATTGCTTCACTAGAAGCCGAGAAAACCTTATTTCAAAATCTATGTAGCCTCGAATGTCATTGTTACCTCTGTCACAGTCTCGATTATCCACCTTTGCGTTTAATCATCAACGGATGTTGAACAGCAGATCGGATTCAAATCCAATGAAAATCGGACACATTAAGGTAGCATCGATAGTTGATTATGCCCTTTAAATGTTAATAAATGTCTAATTAATAGTTTATGTAACATTTCACATGGTAGCATCGATAGTTGATTATGCCCTCTTAATGTTAATAAATGTCTAATTAATAGTTTATATAACATTTCAGGTAAAGAGAAAGACCTGCAATGCGCAGATTTATTTCTTGCATAATGCATGTTTAATGATTTTTACAACCATAGTAGGCAATCTATGTGTGAATGTACGCCCACCACAATCCTCATGTCGAAACCCATTCCCGGACGTTACTCATTTATAAACACGTGGTTTCAGAGTGATGATATAATCATAATGGTCATCATATTTGACTCAAATGCATGATACAAGTCGACTCTAGAATTTTCCACATAGCAAAAATATCTCGGCGCCGGGGATTAACCCCCATGCCCCAACCACAAGGTCCCACTTAACCATATCAATATTGAATTTTTGTGTCTCGTCAAATTCAGCGTCACCACATTCCTGCAAAGAGTAACGCAGTGGTTCTAAACCTTATTTTGCCAAGGGCACACCTTGGAACACATGAAAATATAGCGGCACACCTGGCTAAATATATATGAAAAATATTTGAATTTTGTAAAATAAAAACATGGCAAGTCATAGACGGCATAAAACCGTAGACAGAGACTAGTCATAGACACATAGAATGACTGGAAGTAAATAGAGAAAAACACAGCTATGAACTTATCAGTAGACATCAGTGGATACTCATTTAGGATCATGTGGTTTTTCGCATTTTCTTAGTGTGTCGTTCAAAATTCCGCAGCACACTTAGGAAGATATCGTGGCACACATGTGTGTCGCGGCACACTGGTTGAGAATCACTGGAGTAAGGGCATTCATCGGGGAACATACTACAGAAAGTTGGTTAACATCCGTAAAGATGCCTTCCCGCACACAGACAGAAATACCCATTCGTTTTTTGGAAATAACAACCCAGCAAATACTTTCCTTGCCATGCATCTTAAAATTGTACAGTTTGGTTAAAAAATCGAAACAGTTGAGAAAATGTCGATATTTCCCCGCTTACGGACCCTACCTCACCCCATGGGACCGATCAACAAGATAACAAACGTGCATGGTTGGAATCCGTTGGGTTGTTTAGAAAAAAGATAAAACCATGGAAGGGGAATGCGACAAAGGACACCTGCTTTAATGGGGGGATCCTGTCAATGAGATTAAAATTTATTTTTTGAAATTTGAAATTATCGCCGATAACCTATACTTGGGTCTTAGAGCATACAATCAAATCGTTCGCCCCGGGCATCATTAAATCTTTGCAGGTCATTCATAACTGTATAGTGTATACTGTTATATTAGCAGTCAACAAAAAGCAAAAGTGGTGGATTATTAGCAGTCATTTGATGCTGGCTATACTGTCGTTTAAAAGTGTGACTGGTTCAAATTATATAGGACCTTTATTATGAATCAACAATAACATGGCATAACAGTCATCAGTCTCCAAATAGACCTTGAACCGTGCTAAAAGCGGCCACATCAAAGCCGAGTCAAGTCAGTTCTAAAAATAGCCTAGAGAAAAGAGATGCCACGTTGGCAGTTTTTACATCATCACCAGTAGTCGTGAAAGCTATTGAATATTCAGAAGTCTAACTTGAGATTTAGTGAGAAATCGCGAGATCAACAAACGTTTGACTTACGTTCAAGAGCACGTGGTCAATATAAATATTTGGGTCATGTTGTCTGACCAAAATAAACGTACATTTTGACCATGAAAACTTCAAAATGATATTCATTGTATTAATCTTAGTTGTATTCCTAAAAACTGACAGCCAACAGCTTCTTTTCAAAAAATAAATAAGCTTAATGAATATGACATAGCAAAATTGAAGTTCACGCCCCAATATGCCGAGTTATATATGTTAAGGGAATTACCCACTTCGGCTATATTTAGGTACAAATGGTTGGAAACAGACCGAAAACCATGTACGAGTTGTCTCCCTTGCGTTCACCTAATCGCTGATTCGACGATCATTTGCAACATGTTCTGACTTGTTCATGTCCAGACAATACGATTTCATTCATATATCTCAGTTTAAAGGCAACCGCGCAACGAAGAGGAACGATCTAAAATAGCTGCACACAAACTTTTAAAAAGTAAGCAATTTTCCCTTTCTAATGTCAGTTTTGATATAAATTTATTATTATTATAAGACTGTCAACTGTTTTAAGGGCCTATATACCGTTATAATTGCATATCTTGAGCTGTTATGGTGTAATTTACTGAACCTATAAAGCACGTGTGATCAACTGTCATAACATGATAATATTTTGATTGATCAGCATAATTAGGAAAGATTAAGTACTCAAGGGATAATCTTTTGTAATATAATTAACATAGTCCTGTGCATTTAGAATGTTCTAAAAGAAAAATGATAGGTTATATGAAAAGGGCTTTCCCGATAGGCTATTATGGGCAGGCCATTTATACATTTAATAAAATGATCCGAAATTATTTAATATTTTATGAATTGTTTATAGATAATTGCACATATTTTCGAAACATCAAGCGATTTCGGAAGTCCCGATTTCATTAGAAGCTATAGTCTAGCTATATCTTACACGTGACCTAGTACCTCTAGCATCCATTTTAGTCCCCAGCAAAAACGTGTTTTGGTGTATTTTGTTTTTAGGCTATTTTATAACTCTCGATAATGTTTAATTATTGATTAATGTTTTTGCAACTTTTTGCTACTGGTAACATAATTTTAATCAAAATATAAGATATGAAGAAACAAATCACAAAGTTACGACTCAATACAGACATTCCTGACTGCTGCAAGACGCTTAACGATGTCATATACTTGTAAACATTTGATAAGCACGCCTGTTTTAGCTTTGGACACATATTTTGAACTTGAATTGTGATTGGAGGTGACATGTAGATATAATGAAATCGAATTTGAAAAAATATAATTGTCATAATAATAATTCTCACAAATTGTGTCAAATATGTTAATTTGATAATATTTAATTGTTCTTAGACGTTTAATAATTTCAATTTTCCATGCAATTCATGGATAAAAACTGTGTGTAATCCAGTAATCTTTTCATGAGATACAAAGCTATCATTTATCACTTTCAACATGGCAAAAATGTAATATATTTAGAAATAATCTTATCGAAATCGAATGGCTGCAGTGTGCAATTCATAATGATTCTTAAAACGTCAGATATTGTCAAATCACGTCAAATCGACCAAAGCTTATATTTATTTATTTTTTGATCATTTTAATTGTAACTTTGCATACCTTCAATTGAAACTTTGATAAAATTCCACTTAAAATTTATTCCATACTTAAAAGCACAGCATGCATAATGAAAGACAGATATAATACTTCAGAACCTCTACTATTAAAAGAAATTTAGTTCCAAAATTATTTAAATCGATCAATTTTACGTTTTAATGTCTATTGAGTTCACACCGCCATCTTTATCTCTTTGACAAAAATAATAATAATTGTGCTACATGAAGGTCTTAGGCTTATTTGCATAATAACGACAATATGTACTTTAAAATAATGCATATTTATCTTTTGAAATATATGTAAACGGTCAGGTCTATATATTAAAAAAAAAGCAAAATTCAATGACGTAGATGTCTATTTTTGGAAATCATTTTCTGAATTTATTATTGCAATATACTCCAATTATATTTTGAAATCATTGTGAGTAAATAAACTTTTAAAAGTTTTAGCATCAAACAATTTTTCTCTCAATATATCAGCAAAACATGAAATGGCTGGACAATATTTGCTATATTTAAGTTGTGTTTTGCTCAATTTGTCTGTGTTTACGTCATATTTTTATCATATATTATGTGGCATATTAATTGACAGTTGTTATAAAAATAGATTCAGTTAACCATATCAACAGTAAATAACCCTAAAAGAAAAAGAAACTTTTCTTGTGATGTTAAACTTATTTATTATATTGTCTTGAATATTTCTGCATTTGATTGAGGAATAGTAAAATTGTTTATGTTTTGCATGTACAATGTAGTGAACTTTGGCGCTTTGAAACTTTAGTTTTAGGATATTAAAATTGTTCTTTCTATGGAAATGAATAATTTTATTATGTTGATCTCTTTTAATTATAATCCTTGAGTGGCATTTAGCGATTGAACACATTTGTGTTTGATAACGAAAGAGAATACTTGTCGTGCTATATGTGTATAAACCAGTGATTGTATTCCATATTAATTGTGTTGTGCTCTTTTAGATAATTCAAGATGCAACTCATGAATGAACTGCTAGACAGTGCTAAGATAACATTTTCATCGATATGCAACGATGTCAGTTTAGAAAACTTGGACCATCAATTGGCAAATGCTGCCTTGGAAGTATTCAAATCCGGCAACATGACCCCTCTAATTAAAGAAGAACTGAAAACAAAGATACAAGCTTCAAGACTTAAACGAGGAAAGGATGAACTGACGGTAGAGTTTAAGTCTGAACAAAAATACGAGGTAAATATACAAGTAAATTAATTTGATCGGAATTGATTTATCTTATAGGCAGATATTCAGTGAGATTTATGCACTTTGTACTTTTATTCTTTGCGAAATTTCTATTTTTTTTGTCCCCAGAAATGACAAATGTTAATTTTCATGTTATACGTTATGAAAAGCGTTGTAGACAAATAAATCATGAAATATTATTGTTATTTTATTCATAGTATTATGTACACGTTTTGGAATATATAGAGAGTTAGTTTTTGATTTTCGGAAAAAAAACTGTTCATCCGCCATTTTCCTACAAAAAACGTGTAATTATAGTGCTATTTCGGTTGCTCTATAATATTTAATACGTAAAGTTTATTTATTTGGCGTGAATAATACATGTAATTAGATTTGATATCTTACAATTACCAATATTCCTAGATAATATAAATAATAAGTTTTACACAATATGGAAAATATTACCAATATTCCTAGATAATATAAATAATAAGTTTTACACAATATGGAAAATATTTAATGTTTCACATGAACGGATGCTCTCTCTATTCCGTGGATAGAAAATGGCGACCGTTCTTCTTCATTATAATATTTTAGGAAGGAACTCATATAGGCCGTTATCTGTTTTTATGATCATTTCTAATGAATAAACTATTGTTTCAACTTAATCATAATATTTTAACCTTTGAGCGACCAGTGATGCTCGATTTTAAGGATTTTCTTATAAATGTTTTTATTTAAATAATTATTTTGAAAATTGCTTGGAAACTCAAATTTATTTCACGTTAATAATTTTTTTCTGGTATAAGAAACAGATTTGAATGAAATTATGTTTTTTATAAGATATCGTTGGAAATGAGTAATTCCCTTAAGTTTGTTGGCTAGACTGTATTTCGACCCAAACGTGGACACAGTTATGTCACGTGACCTTAATTTTACGGTCATCTTGATATATAGGACATAAGGTCAACATGTTCTACATATATATATATAAAAGTTTGAAAGCGCAGACAGTGAAAGCACAGCATAAATCCAACATATTTTTAAAAGGGGGGAAAAACTGTATGACCAAATACACTTTTATTCTTTTATATATTTTGAAATATACGCCATACAAGTTTACACTTTATTTTTATAATTTGAAATATACACGTCAGCAATTTGTTTATCTTACTAATTAGTCAGTGATATTAACAGTTAATATATTCATAATATGAATATATTAACTATTAATAGTGTATAAATTATACACTAGCCGTGCCATACTAATAATTATTAGATTTCCGGATGGTGTAGAGAAGAAGGACGTTATACCCCATTTAATTTTATCTTATTCGATGTACTTTTAAAGATATAGAGAGTTAAGATAAATCTGTCGTTTCACCGATAAAATCAGAATATTTACATCTGACATAATTCTCATATTAAGAGATTAAATTCCGGATGTTATAGCTTCAGTGTTTAGTGTATAATGATTTGTATCATATTCAGAAACTGAGATTTTGAAACAATAACAAACTATAATATGTCATAACTCAACGTAAGAAAAAAAAAACATTTTGATAATCATGTTAGTTTGTATTTTATTTGAAAAAAATGACTTTTGGGGGCTAAAAGAAAGTGATTGTTTTGAAGTGAGATTCCTAAGTTTTAAAAAGTTACACAGTTATATAGAAATTAATCTGCGATTGTTTATCAAACGCAAATATTTAGAAATATTATATATTTACTTGAATATATTATAGCTAAGTGATGAAGAAAAGGCACGTATAAGCAAGAGAAAGGAAGCTAATAGACTGGCAGCCGTAAGGTTTAGACAGAGAAGAAAAAGCAAGGAACAGCAATTGTCTGAGGTAATAAAACAGTATCTATAATTGTAAAATTTATAAATTATTTTAAAGAAGAAACAGACAATTAATTTATTGACTTTATTTTGAGTTATAAGTTGAAGAAATGATTCATAGATTATCTGATGGACATTTTATTAACGAATGAATTTGTTTACGTTATAGCGAGTTATATATATATATATATAAAAGAAATAATGCTAATGTTATCTTTCATTTTGTATCTAATGTGTCTGAATGTAATTTACCAAAGAAAAATACTAATTTACCACGTATTAAAGATATTTGTTTTGTTACTGAAAAGTTGTTTTTTAGGAGCAATATGATACATAAATTTATATCTACATGTAATTGTTTTCTTTTTAATTTATTTCTAGGAATGTGATAGCCTGGAGGCGAGGAACGTCGCATTGATGCGGGAGTTGGAAGACCTGCAACAGCAGAAGGGGGGACTTCTGGCCGCGATATCACAGATAAGAAGTCCCCCCAGCCCACCTTAACTTGTTATTAACTATATAAATAGCCTATCAAAATAATGGCAGTGGCCAGTTACATACAACTTAAGCCAATTAGAACGCTAAGTTTGGCGTTACTGAATATTCATATAAATGACCTTATGACCTCAATGGACTCCTGTACATACCAGTTGTCTCTTCATGTTATTCTTGTATATGGATTATGTGAACTTTGTAAAATATTGTATTTTGCATTTATACTGCCATTCAAACTTAAAGCCATATTTAAATGTACATTACACGAGCTGTATGAGATTTACACTCATTGTAGGTTGTAGGCCTAATTAAGTATAAACTTACTTCTTGTAAAGGGTAGCCTAAACCATGAATATGTATACCTTTTTGAAAAGAAAATGATATGTATTATTGAAACTATTGTATGTCTTCCATCTTGTAATCTCACTTATATAAGTGGGACTATATAATACCAAAGAAACCCAACAACCCCAGACGTCGAGGACCAGCAACCCTCAGCCATCTGCGCATCAATAATTACAGGAGTCAGAATATGACCGTTCAACAGACTGTCAGTCAGGGAAATAACAAAACATTCCATTTCCGAAATTTATTGTCTTAGAATAGATAGATAAAAACCTCATCATTCAACCCGTTGTGTTTTTAATACCATATTTGTATTCATACTTAAATTCATTTATTGTAGTCATTATGTTTCATTTTTTTTATTTCTTTAATTTCAAATGTCTCCATGATATAGAATTAGTTACCAATTAATTAGCACCTTATTAAAATGTCAATCAGTTAAATGTCAAGCAATCTTGATTATAGTCTAGTTAATTTGAAGCTATTTTTGTTAATAACTGATTTAGAAGTTCCTGTTTGCCAAATGTTGTGAATTTAAGCTGGTATGAGTGCTTGATAATGATAAACATTCTTTTATTTTTAAATGAAAAAGTCTGTGTATCACTTGTTGTGTATATAATAAATTGTTAAATGGTTTGTAAGAAAATAAAAATATGTAAAGGTGGGTGAATATTATAGTAAACTAGGGTTCTTATCCACAAAAACTAAAATAGTTTAAGAATATTGCCTTTTCATTGGCTTGTAAAAGGTTTTTGTCCCTCAACCAATGACATGACCGTATCCTTAAATATTTCAGTTTTCATGAATAAGGCCCCAAAGGGTCTCATTCCAAAATAACTAAACCATCTAAAATAATTTAAGGGTATAGTTCGTTGATTGCATGAGCACTGAACTCATGTCACAGATTTTATCTCTTAGCTAATGGATGGTCTGGATCCTGACGGCATTTTAGTTTTTTTGTTGTTTTTGTTTTGGTGAATAAGACTCCACAAAGATTAAATGTATAGGTTTACACATTATACTTATTAGTTGTTAATGGCAGGTAAATGATATTTTAAGCAAGACTTACAAATTTTGATTTCGAAATCAAAATACTTCTAAGTATGTGGTTAATTTGATTAGTCAAGGTTTTGTTAAAATGGAAACTATTTCATGCGATATGAATGCTTTTTTTTAAGTTTTTGTTTAATTTGTTTGTTTTTAAAGTGAATTTTATGATAAAAATGGCGGAAAATAAGAGTTGTTAAAATGTTCTTGTAAATACTATGTAAGAATCATTGGAAAGGTGCATAGATATCTTTATTATGTTTTATATAATAAAGACGAAATAAATGAAATGGTCTTATTGGTAATTTCTTCACACATGCCTTCAGTTGGGAGTTTGGGAAATTGGAAAACATATTATATAGGATGGGATATGGGAATTGAAAGTCTCTGACAAGGCTAAAGATCCAATTTTTATACGCCCACAGTTCTCACTATAATAGTTAAAACTAGATAATGTAAAGGGAATTTGCTGAAAATTTCAGTCAAATCGATCCATTCTGAACCGAGAATTTAGCGATTGAATTTTGGGCCTAGCCTCGATCATCATTACCAAAGTCGGTAGGATAAAAAACATAGTCTCGATTATCCATTTTTTGATTTAATCAGCAGCAGTAGACCAGATTCTAATCCAGTAAATATCACAGACTAGCGATGCCATCGATAGTTGATTATGGTCTGGATAAGTTAATTAATATCTGATTAATAATTTAGATAACATTTCAGGCCTAAAGAAAGTCCTGCAATTGGCAGATTTAGCTCTTGCATAATGTATATTTAATGTGGACGCATATTGTAGTCACCATTTCCGTATGTAGGTCAGTCCACACTTCTTATCAGCGCAATAGAGGCTACAGTTATAAGGACACAGCTCACCAAATATTTCTACGCCGTTAGGGCAAAAGTTATTTTTAGTCTTTCTCTCCCCCCCCCCCTTTTGCATGGCGATTTTAGTTGACTTTTTGGTGTAGAATCGAAGAAAAGGGTTTGAAAATACATTTTCTACCAGGTTTTGGTGAATATTCATGATTTTGAGGCGGAAGGATACAAGAGTTGAGAGGTTGGTTAGGTTTAAATGTTGGGTCCAAAATTGCATATTTTCTTGTCTCTACTTCCAGCTTGTGTATCTCAAGTTTTCCATGGTGAACCTCATACGTGCTTTTTGGCAAGAGGTTGCCACATGTTGCTCCATCTGTGGTAGAAAGCGTTCTACCCAACGAAAATTTGGGAAAAAGTTAGAGCCGGTCTAAGAGACGAGAATTAACATTAAAGTCAATGGGCAAATGTTTAGTGATCTGTGGCCAGCAAAGTCTGATCAATATTTTTAGAGTTATGCCCCCTTTTGCCCAGTCCACACTTCTTGTCAGCGCTAAAAATGGTTACAGTTATTTTCTGATTTTTCTGAAACTTCCAGGAAACTTGTATAATGAAAGTCGAGGAATTGGGGATCCCCATTTGTTTTCGTGAAAATCGGGTTGATATTTTTAGAGTTATGCTCCTAGTTTGCGTGATAGATGTTTTGATTTCCGCGAACACCAGCATTGGTAGTATTCTGGAAATGTTTGAAATGAAATGAAATGAAATGGGATTTAACGTCCTACTGTTTTGCTCCGAACTGGGCTAATGAAGACGGGCATACGCCATATAGTGTGCTATGAGGGAAATTTTGCCCGGACAGCGGCACTACGGCCTACTCTTATATCGAATTCCAACTGTCAAGGGATTTTTTACGTGCACGCCAATGTGTACACGGGACCTCGGTTTTTCGTCTCATCCGAATGACTAGACAGCTGTCCTTGTCCCGTCCTGCATCACTGACAAGGGGGAACCACGCCGGAAAATCGGGATGAACTTTCTCGGCCAATGCAGGGATCGAACACCCGACCTCCAGGCTAGCGAGCCAGCGCCTTACCCACATAGCCACCGTGATCCCCCTGGAAATGTTTGAGTATTGTGTATGATAAACTAAAGCCCTGTTTATACAGAGTGCGAACTCGAACGCGTCCATAGCGAACCCGAACGCGAACGCGAATTTTGAGCAGTTTCACCCTTCAAATAGGGCGCGAACCCGAACGCGGAAAACTACGAAAGCCCAGAAGGCTCATTCCAAATTCCAGATTCCAAATTCCAAATTCCAGATTCCAAATTCCAAATTCCAGATTCCAAATTCCAGATTCCAAATTCCAAATTTGCTGCTGTAGCAAAAAGAAAAAAAAATGCCAGTCCTAGGATACCGAGTAGCAGAGTAGCTCACTGCAGAGGAACTTTTCCCCAAACTGTTCACATCTGCCGAAGCAAACCCGAACTGGAATATTGTTATTATACTCTAACTGATTAGGGGGGTGGGGGGTTGGTTGGCCGAATGGTTAGCACGTGCGTGCTGTATCATACGGCCTGTCATTGAGTCAACTGGCGTGGTTTCGAATCCCCGGTTGTACGTGACAAGGAGTAGGGTGGCCTGTCCAAACTCGTGGGTTTTCTCCGGGTCCTCCTTTTTCCCCCCACTGCTAAAGACCCCTACGCGCAAGCGAATTATTGAAATAAAATTAAAACCATATGTTAGTCCCGAAATGACCTAGTTTGTGGATGTAAACCCCGTTTCTCTCTCTCTCTAACTGATTAGTCAAAAGCAAAAACCTGATCCGATTGGTCGGATCAGATTTGGAATTTGGAATCTGGAATTTGGAATTTGGAATCTGGAATTTGGAATCTGGAATTTGGAATCTGGAATTTGGAATTTGGAATCTAGTAATTTGGAACGGGTATTTATCCGGCCCAGATAGGTAAACTAGAAGTAATTAGTTGTGTAAAATTACAATTTATATAAATTCTAAGTTGTTTAATTGAGGGGGGCTGCCAATTTGCTATTTTATCGGTAAGACATGAATTTGGAATTTGGAATTTCGGATTTGGAATTTGGAATTTCGGATTTGGAATTTGGAATTTCGCATTTGGAATTTGGAATTTGGAATGAGCCTTCTGGGCTTTCGTAGAAAACCGTCGACGGCTTTCGTGATGGCTTGTCTTTTTCTAGCTGTGAGAGATAAATTTTGTCATTTGCTATCATGGCTCAGGTGGAATCAGACACAGGCGAGGTCTTGGCACTGTATTTCTACACGAAACAACGAAGGAAGAGAAAGAGGCGAATATCAGTGCATGCAATTTACAGAGAAGAAGTGAGTTTGGAGAATACCATCACCTCGTAGAAGGACTATATTTTCATCCGGAAAAATTCCAACAGTATTTTCGAATGACAGAGGAGCAATTTGACTAGCGGTTTCTATTCGTGGAAATGATGTCATGGAAGTGCCCGCTGATTGGTTCATTGGGAAAAAGTTCGCGCGAACTTCTGAAAAATTCGCTCGGGAGGCAATCAAGGCGGTCGTTCGCGCGAACCAATATTTGTTCGGGTTCGGGTTCGCGCTCTGTATATGAACGGGGCCTCTAAAAATGACTAGAGCATTCCAGGACGAAAAGCCGCGTTCGCGTTCGCGTTCGGGTTCGCGCTCTGTATAAACCCCCCTTTACATTGACCGCAGTAGCCAATGTTGTTGTTAACGGGACGTTGCAATATATTTGAATAATTTAAACGAATTAGGGGAACATCGGAATTACCGAGTTTTGCATACAGTTAATGGGTCACACATATTCTTGGAGGGCGTACGGAATCAACGCCGAACTTTTTGTGCCGTATCACACCATCGCCTTTCAAATTCCCATCATGGCGCGACTTAAAACCGTATCTGTACAACATAAAAAGCACTTTGAAACAAATTCCTATCCAAGTGAGAATCCTTCATTCTCTTTGGGAAAAGAACTCAAAGAATTTCACAAGTGTATTTGAATAAATCTGAGCAAGAACCACCAAAGCACCATTCAAAATCATATAAAATCATTTTATTATCGTATATTGACGTCTCTCCCGTCTCCGTCTGTGGACACTCTGTAGAAAACATTTATTCACTGATCTTTATAAGAGAGAGAGAGAGAGAGAGAGAAGAGAGGGAGAGAGAGAGAGAGCAATGGGGTTTAACGTCCACTCGACACAAACTAGGTCATTTCGGGACTAACATATGGTTTTTAATTTTATTTCAATAATTCGCTTGCGCGTAGGGGTCTTTAACAGTGGGAGGAAACTGGAGGACACAGAGAAAACCCACGAGGTTGGACAGGCGACCCTATTCCTTTTCACGTACAACCGGGGATTCGAAACATTAAAATCTTGAGTAACAATCAAGACAAAATTATGGAACAGACTGGAAAATAGATTCATGATGGCCGTTTAAGCAGGAAAGGAAGGAGGATTTGAAAGTTTGAAAAAATACATTTATCCGAATGTGACGTCATCAACGATACTTTCAAACTTAGTAATGAATTCTAGTTCATTGGGGCTAAATAGTTAAAGCAAATAAAGGGACTGGTACTGATAAACATAAGATGGTAGAATTGGTTAGTACAGTTAAATATTAGATGGTAGAGAGGGTTAATATAGGTAAACATTTGATGGTAGAAAGGGTTAGTACAGATACACATGTAGTGGTAGACGGGGTTAGAACAAGTAAACATGTAATAGTAGAGAGGGTTTAGTACAGTTAAAGATTAGATGGTAGAAAGGGTTAATACAGGTAAACGTGATGGTAGAAAGGGTTAATACCGGTAAACGTGATGGTAGAAAGGGTTAGTGCTGGTTAACATGTAATAGTAGAGGAGGTTAGTACAGGTAAACATGTGATAGTAGTGGTAAACATTTGGTGGTAGAGAGGGTTGGTGCAAGTAAACGTGATGGTAGAAAGGGTTAGTATACAGGTAAACGTGTACAGTTAGAAAGAGTTAGCACGTGTAAACAAACATGTGAGGGTAGGGGGGTTAATACAGGTAAACATGTGATGGTAGAGAGGGTTAGTATAGATAAACATGTAGTGGTAGAGAGGATTAGTTTAAACATGTGATGGTAGAGGGGGTTAGTACAGGTAAACATTTGATAGTAGAAAGGGTTAGTACAGATACACATGTAGTGGTAGGGTGGGTTAGAACAAGTAAACATGTAATAGTAGAGAGGGTTTAGTACAGTTAAAGATTAAATGGTAGAAAGGGTTAATACAGGTAAACGTGATGGTAGAAAGGATTAGTACAGGTTAACATGTAATAGTAGAGGAGGTTGGTACAGGTAAACATGTGATAGTAGTGGTAAACATTTGATGGTAGAGAGGGTTAGTGCAGGTAAACGTGATGGTAGAAAGGGTTAGTATATAGCTAAACATTTGATAGTAGAGAGGGTTAGTACAGGAAACATTTGATGGCAGAGAGTGTTGGTACAAGTAAACGTGATGGAAGAAAGGGTTAGTATACAGGTAAACGTGTAAAGTTAGAAAGAGTTAGCACGTGTAAACAAACATGTGAGGGTAGGGGGGGGGGGGGTTAATACAGGTAAACATGTGATGGTAGAGAGGGTTAGTATAGATAAACATCTAGTGGTAGAGAGGATTAGTATAAACATATGATGGTAGAGAGGGTTAATACAGGTAAACATTAGATGGTAGAGAGGGTTAGTACAGGTAAACATGTGGTGGTAGAGGGGGTTAATACAGGTAAACATGTAATGGTAGAGAGGGTTAGTATAGGTAAACTTGTGATGGCAGAGAGGGTTAGTACAGGTAAACATGTGATGGTAGAGAGAGGGTTAATACAGGTAAACATGTGATGGTAGTGAGAGGGTTAGTACAGGTAAACATGTGATGATAGAGGGGAATAATACAGGTAAACGTGTAAAGTTAGAAAGAGTTAGTACGTGTAAACAAACATGTGATGGTAGAGAGGGTTAGTATGGGTAAACATGTGATGGTAGAGAGGGTTAGTATAGGTAAACATGTGATGGTAGAGGGGGTTAGTACAGGTAAACATGTGATGGTAGAGAGGGTTAGTATAGGTAAACACGTGGTGTATAGAGAGGGTTAGTACAGATACACATGTGGTGTACAGGGGGGTAGTATAGGTAAACATGTAGTGAAAGAGAAGGTTAGTATTGTTAAAGATACATTCCCGCGTACAAACTGGGCGATTTAATGGTATATATGGACTAAAAACATATTCAAACTAATTAATTTGTCATAATTTTGCTTCAAATCCTTCTCAAACATTGTAATTGCCAAGGAATGCCCTGCTATAAAAATTCGATCAAACCAGGTCATGTTACGTCACATGACTTACTTCTCTTGGAAGTCAGAGGAGAATTCATTGCATACAAAAGACGATGCTGTCTTTAATCGCTTATACTATTTATTACAAATATCGAATCCTAATTAAATTCTCGGATTATCCACTATCTGCGTCTTTTTCCGTCATTTTTATCTCAGAAAGTGTTGTACGTCTAACTCTTCATCAAGTTTATCAACTTGTACATCAAGCGCCCAATGTTCGCGTGTGACCTTTGACATCACGCGTGCAGAAATTCCTAATAGTCGGGCTGTCGATTGGGGAACCCTTACATTTTTGTCATGTATACGCTCCATGAGTGTTTTGCGGGGAATCCAGTATTTTTCTAGTAAGATTGGATATCTCTACTTTCCATATATACCAAAATTGCCATACTTTTATTGGAAATAACCACCCGATAAATACTTTTCTGGGAACCCATGTTATGATTGAGAATGTTAGTTGATGGTAAAAGGGGTTAGTACAAGTGATGATTGAGAATATTAGTACATATAAACGTATTGATAGATCAAGCTGGTGGTGCTTGTTAGTACAGATAAACATGTTATGGTAGAATTCACTATCATAATTCAAGGACATTGGTGAGGTCATTATTCGTAAAAATAGAGCCTGATTGTGCGATTTTTAAACAATCTGAATCGACTTGGGTGTTTGTTATATTTTTGTCGGGTTTTCACTATGGCGTTTGTTATTCTCGCTTATATTATGCTCTCGGAGTTTATTTGTAAGAAGTTATGCGCACAGATTATGGAGTTTCGTGAGTTAACTTTTTTAATGGTCAATAGACTTATTTACTTGTATGTATAAATTATATGGTTGTGTATGTTGTAATAATATGTGATTGTATGATGCTCCCCGTGGGCGTTTGTATTTAATAAATTTTACCGTATTTCATCATGGACTTGGTCAAAGATTTTCACATGACTTTACTTGTAATGTTGGTGATTTGTAAATTATTAATGATATTACATAATTACATGCAATCGTCTCATTATGCTCAATAAGCACAAATGATTAATTGATTCTTATGCTATATGGTAGTGTATAACTGCCCGTCTTCATTAGCCCGGTATAGGAGCAGAACAGTAAGACGTTAAACCCCATTTCATTTCATTTCATTTCAGTGTGTCATTGGCAGGATAACCCCGACTATCACTGTGTTTTCATGTGATAACGCCCACACGTAAGACGTTACATGCTTCGCGGAACACCAATTATTTTATATGCTTCGCGGAGCACAAAGGTGTCAAATAGATTTCGAAGAAAGAATAAGAAATAATAACTCCAGAGACGTTTTCAGTTCGGCTAATGAGCAATCGTTTGCAAAAGCAATATTTTAGTTTTCGCTTAAAAGTCAAATATATTCCACCATAGGCAAAAATACAATATTCTTTCTGAATATAGGAGTTAGCTCCCTTGTGAAACAAGTTTCAGCACGTTGTTTATTATAGTAACTGAGTATTAAAAGCCCGTATTTATTATCTCACTATCACATGCGTATATACGACCACAGAGAAAACCCACCAAAGCTTACTAAGCATCTATTCAACTATAATATGTTATACATCATTGGTATGTTACTCGTATTCGAAGAAAACGTGGGCATATATGGAGAAACACATTATCGTGAAAACATCAAGCTATAAATCGCATCTGATGCAATTGTTGGCAAGTCATCGGCCATCGTAGCAGTAGCACATGACGCTTTCTAAAGAAACAGACAAATGGAACAATCGGGCAGTTCCACCAGAGTTCTTGTGAACGAAAGGGCATTGAATGATTACGCATGATACGGAGTAGAACCTGATTGGCGCGTCTGGGGGTATTTACCTTCTTGAGTCCACCTAACCTTAAAAAAAGTTGACAGTAGTTTATTATTTATTATGAAAACAACAATCTCAAAGCAGTCTGACGAATAAGTGAATATTCCAGGTTGTTTATGATAGATTAGATGAATACTTTCTAAAGAAGGCGCGGGTTTTCCATGTGGATTATAATGCATTATGGGTGTCCAGGATATTGCTTAGTTAAAAGGTTGTAAAGTACCTACGTTGCGACGAAAAACAAAATGCTGAAAATATGTTTACTACAACATTGAATATAATCATTTCAATTAATCGCTTAGACAGTAGGACGTTAAACCCCATTTCTTTTCACTTCGCTTAGAATATATACAATGGTTACAATGTTCAACATTACGTCCTCTATGCGTTGTACTCAGCGCGTATAGTGTACAAGAGCCATGTGATTGGTGGATAAAAATAGAAATAAAATACGCCGGTATATCAATATGCTGTCACAACCACGTGCAATACTATAACTCCAACGTCAAATCGAACACAGCTACAATCACCATGCTTTACTCCGATACATTACAGTTATCTAAACGTTTACCAAACGTTGATGATGTTTTAGATTGTTCTAATTTCATCGTTTCAGATAGTAAACAGACTGAGTATTATAACTTTGACCAATTCGAGATGATAGCTGACGAGAAATCTATCCTACCCGATTTTGACTTGCTGAATGATTTGATGGAAACGAGGGAAGCAAGTTGTTCCAACACTAATATTCCCGCAACCATCAATGAAGAAATGGAAGCACAAAATGTTGCCGATGTGCCAGAGTCATCTGATACAGGTATGTCAAACATTTATTATTACTTTACACTTATTTACTTAATTCCAGACATTTGAATTGAAATGAAATGGGGTTTAAAGTCCTACTTATCTGCTTCGACTGGGCTAATGAAGATGGACATACGCCATACACAGTGTGTTATGAGAGAAATTTTGCCCGGACTGCGGCGCTACGGCCTATACTCTTATATCGAATTCAAACTGCCAATGTGTACACATGACTTCGGTTTTTCGTCCCATCCGATAGACTAGACAGCTGTACTTGCCAGCCCCCCCCCCACACGCACACACATCTTGCACTACTGAAAAGGGGGAAACCAGGCTGTAAAATCCCGATGAACTTTCTCTGCCCAGACATTTGAACTTATGTGTATGCTGATTAACACTTATAGTAGGGGAACCCCCTAAAATTGACATTTAATTTGACAGCCCTATAATATTTAAAACTACATGTATATTATAAGAAAACATTTAGATAGCTTGCTGCGTTGTTTTTCATTTTTTCTTATGTTTTGTTATTTCTATTTCCACATTAACCTTTTCTTTCTAGACGAATTGAGAATTATGATGTATAATTACGATGGATTAATAATCGGATCTCAAACACATGCTGTATACATGTATTTACAACTTCAGGAAGCGACCAGTTAGCGTATGACGAGAAGACGGTAGCAGCTGTATTGGCTAGTTTAGAAACCAACAGCGTAACACCGATAATAAAAGAGGGTTTACGATCATGTATCCAAACAAAACGACTCCAGGAAGGAAAAGAGGAGTTGGAAATTAAATTCACTCCATATACAAAACGAGAGGTAGGTCATAGTAATTAACCAATCCCATACTAATATACAGGATAACGTAGGTTGTATGCCCGAAGCGACAAATACGATCAAAATAAAAAAACGCTAATTTACCGTTGTACCCTCAATTTTATCTCATTGGAAACTTTTGTAACTGATTCTGTCATGCGAAAATCAAACTGACTGCCGACTTTTCACATTATTATAAATTTCAGTCTGCACAAAGTATAGGTGTATCTAAAATTATCACGAATTCAGTTTATGAAAATTATAAATTGAAATAAGCAAAATATGAATTCAACTTAAGAGCTTATTGAATTCAATTTATGAAAGTCGTGAAATCAATTTATAATATTCGTATATTCCATTTATGAAAGTCATGTGGACTCAATTTATGAAATCTTTTATGTCGGTTTTATGTTAATACAATCACAAATTTATTTAAACTAATGAATTATTTATATTTCAGCCCGAAACGGACGAAGAAGTTGCTCGAGCTGCGAAACGTAAAGAACAAAACAAAATGGCAGCACGACGTTTCAGACAACGTCAAAAAGATGTGGGCGATAAATACATAAAGGTGAGGACAAAATTTATAATATTATGATATATTTAGTGATATATTTAGTGATATATTTACACATTATCCGGTCCCACTTTCAACTACGAACAGTGAAATTTATAATTATAAGATATATTAAGACATTATCCGGTCTCACTATCAACTACGTGTAAGTTTAAAAAAAAACCCAACATTATGATATATTTAGACATTATAGCCCCCACTGTCAATTACCAACAGTGAACATTTCTCTTTAAAACGAATGGTACATATTATTGGCATATTATTCTTACATTTTCACAAAAGCAGAATGGAAATTTGACGTCACCGAAAACTATCAAGTCGAATAAATCTATAGCACAATCGCGTCCGGCTATCTTCAATTCAATTAAATCTTTCTTATTTACGTCAAACGGCTTACCAGTCCACCGTGTTTCATTTTGAAATGTGAAACCTCATTATAGTACTGTTTAGAAGTTATCAAATAATTGGATAATGTGTATGTGAAATAGCTTTATTTAATGTCCGCTTCCACTGAGGTGATATCGCAGACAATAACAAGATATACATATAAACGTTCATGGCGAAATGTCATTTAACCGGGAAGAAGGCGAGAGCGTTAACAGCACAAGGGTAACTTCCTATTTCGTGGGTTGGTTTTTGTTCGACATAATATTCACTATTAACTAGTACTGTGTACTGCATATAATAAATCGACGTCATAGGATTAATTCAAAAAAACATACCTACCCTGAGTGACCTTGGCCTGGATAAGTCTGTTGTTTAGGTTCAGAAGCACTTTAAAGACACGGACTAGAAAAATGACACTCCTTGCTGTGTGAGAAATTTAATTGATTGATAATTTCATACCAGGATAATTTAATATTCATCAACACCGAATGCGTTTTGATACGTTATTGAATTACAATTATTATTATGACATGAATCTTGAATTTATAGATACAAGGGGCCTAAAGAGTTTTATTTGTATACACATGAAGTAATAAAAGAAATGAATGAGATTCAGCGTCTCAAGAGCAATAGAATATCCCCCCTGGCATCGATGTACCCGTGCTGAGTTCAAACTAGGAATAGTCAAGAATATTATTTTAATAATACTTGATCATCTAGAATTGGTCTTTTTAACCCATGCACTGTAGCTTTGAGTGAGGACATTTATCTGAACCCACATAAAATATTAACAAGATATGATCCATTTGTAAACATATATTTATAATTTTCTTTCTTTTTTTATTTTGTAGAAAATTCACCGTCTTGAAACTTCTAACACCACCCTCCAAGCAGAGATTGCCAATCTTCGACGGGCGAAAGCAGAATTACAGCAACTCCTCACAAGCCATTTATCAGTATGTCCCAACAATCCAGTCGTTGCCTGGCCGTGAAATGGACTTTTCACATAATGACGGATAACACAAATAACTACAAAATGAGGAACTTAATTGTTCGCGATTTCTGCTAGTCAAAAACATGTCGAATAACTTTTGTCGTCGTTCATAAGACATCATGGCTAAATAAAAACTGACATTCAGGAACAAACTTTGGTTTGCGATGACAGAAGTTTCGACATACGCATCTTTTCCACATGGTGCTAGAGAAGAAGGAGGTGGGCATCTATTCTAATAGCTATAGAATAGAAGGAAGAACGTCCTGGTTTCAGCTACAAAACAAAATCTCAAAGATAAACACAATCTGATCTTTATACAATAGATTTAGCCATGTTTTCTCTTATATAGAATAAAACTAATGCAATGAAGTTAGCTCTCGAAACGGGAATATAGTTTGGTAATAGTAACCTATTCTGATCATCTGAAAATGTTATTTTATTTTTAGATGTGGAATAAGTTCATTATAAATAACTGTGATAAAATTGCATCAAAAAGTTTTATTTTATGTAAATGAAAAAAAGAGACTTTCTCATTTATCATGACACCATGACTGACCTTCAATATTTTGTGTACATGTAAATGAAAAAAGAGACTTTCTAATTAAACATTTTAAAACATATACTTTTCTTATCAAATATTGAATCAAAGTTAAGAAACTTTCTCAATAAACATGACTGTATCATTACTAATCATAAATATATTAAAATATATTCGTATATGCTCAATTTTGTGATGTAATTGTATATGTACCTGTAGAAATTGTGACGTGGGTAAATGATATACAGGTAATCCATATATACGAAGTACGTGTATCTTCTAAGGTATTCAATATTACCTCATATAGATGTAGACCCTATATTGTCTTCTATAGTAAAGGTATACATTTATAATATTACTTGTATGTATTTTAAGTGTTTATTTATATTATGTACATAACTTTTTGTTTAAAATGCACAATAACATTATACGTGTACATTATGAATTCCAATATTCAAAAATGCACAATAAACAGGATGTATTCAAACAATGGTGTATATCCTCAGGTATTATTAAATCTGTACATGTATTTAAATGACATAATATATTTTATTTTATGGGCTGCACAGCCGTTGCATTTATAATTCATTTTCTAGAATAGAACATTATTTAGTTTTAAAATGGACATTTATGCTTAAATCATTCAGGGAAAATCAAGCCCATGTCATATAGAAAAGTTTGAACGTTTTAGATAGACCTGTGAAGTAAAGTTCATAATAGTCAAACTTGTATATACTTTTAACTGCCAAACATGGTATATATGTTATGTTCTATGACGAATAATTGTTTACCATCGATAATATTATGCTGTCTTTGCCCATATTTAGTAATGCGTCTATTTATAATTATTGACCAATGGCTGTGTCATGTTCCATATATACAGATTATGTTGTTAGTCTTTATATATATATATATATATATATACTTTTCATTTATAACAAACTGTGATATTAGTTATTTTAATTACATATAAGAGTCTTTTCGTATGTATAATAATGTTGTCTTTTTGAATTGCAATTTTAATCTAATTAAAATTCCAAGTTGTATAACAATAAAAAAGATGATGGTTTTGCATGTATTTGTTTATTAGACTTTGGAGATTTGTAATTAAATTAAAGACTTGTTCTCTGAGTATATATTTATTAAAGAGGCAGAAACACTTCGGAAATTAATGATAGTTTGCCATTTACATCTACACCGGGGACAAAACAGGGAATCCATAAACGTTTTAAAATTCATTACGGGCAGCTTTACATGATCTTCATCTTAGCCATTGTCCAGAAAATCTAGTCTTTGATTGTTTATGGTCCAACGCCGATTAAACGCGTGGGCAATGAACAGTGTCTAGTCTTACAAATATGACAAAAGCATATCGTGTTGTTGGCGTTCACGTAAAAGAACCATTGGAAACGCCGCCGCCAGGGCAAAATTCTCCTCATTGCACACTGCTTCGTGAATGCCCGTCTTTATTGCCCCGGTTGGTACCGAACGTAGCACGTTAAACCCCATTTCATTTCCAGCTCTGTCGTGGGAAATGAAATGATATGGTGTTTAACGTCCTACTGCTTTGCTCCGAACTGGGCTAATGAAGACGGGCATACGCCATGCAGTGTGCTATGAGGGAAATTTTGCCCGGACAGCGGCACTACGGCCTACTCATATCATATGTAATCGTAGGTTAGATTTAGAACATGATAATATTGAGGCTATATGGATAGAAATTACTCTTAAACACTCTAAACCATTATTACTTTGTAATATTTATCGTAATCCCTCTTCCTTATCTTCCTGGAATACTGACTTCTCATTTATGATAGAAAAAGCATGGAATTCTCACTGTGAGATACTATTGTTAGGAGATTTAAATATTGACTTATTACTTAATCATAATAAATCATGGACCGATCTTCTTGAAATATATGGTCTACATCAAATACCTATTATTAAATATAAATCTTCTGATTCTTCATATTTCATTCTTTCAAAATCTTTAAAACTGCCTACCATTCAACAACCTCATTTAACGTATAAATATATATTTCTGTTCAAAATATTAAACTATAAAAGTCCAAATTACTTGTGTTCCTTATTTCAATTTAAAAATACTCCTTACAACTCTATAAATCTTAAATTACAAATTCCACATCCAAATTGTACTAAATTTAAACATAGTCTTAGTTATAATGGACCAGTTTTATGGAATTCACTTCCAAATAATTTAAACTCATTACATGTTCTCTCAACTTTTAAAAAATCACTGCATAATTATATCCAAAATGTTATGTAACTATTCTGTATATTTAAATTTAAACCATTATCGGTTTCTGCATTTGATGTTATTTGGAATGTAAATACATTTTCATTATTCAGTTTCCTTGTATGTATAATATATGTGTATGTTTGTTTTGTCTATTGTCATTTAAGGGCAGAATTGTAAACAGGCTGCAAAGTCTAATTTTTCACCCTTTTGAAAATAAAGAACTTATTATTATTATTATTACTCTTATATCAATTTCCAACTGTCTCTGTCGTGGGAAATGGAATGTCCGTCTTCATTGACCGGTTTGGTACCGAAAGTAGGACGTTAAACCCCATTTCATTTCCAGCTCTGTCGTGGGAAATCCAAAGTACATTTTTGAACACGTTGTGGTATACAAAAGGATAGTACAGGTAAACATATGTTGGTGGAAAAAGTTGGTACAGGTAAACATGTGGTGATCGAACGGGTCAGTACAGGTAAACGTGTGATGATAGAAAGGGTTAGTGCAGGTAAACTTGTGATGGTAGAAAGGGTTAGTACAGACAGGGCCCACGAGATGGGGGGGGGGGGGGCAGCTGGGACCAGGACATATAGTCTAGAGGGGTCTGGAGGTATGCCCAATATTTTTTTTTTTTTAAAAATTAGTTGGTATAAATTAATTTTAAAAAATACACTGTTACATGATCGTAATGTAGACGAAAACCGGTGATTTATCTAAATGCGGGTACCTAGTTGCATGTGTAGGGTTAGAATGGAATATATTAGTCCACTTTTTTGGAAAAATTGGTGAATTAAAATCTATAAGCCACCCGTCCGTCCTCGTGTACATTTATTTCCCTTCTATTGTCATATTGAATGAAATTAAATATGTTTATTTAACCGTTGTGTGTATGAAAGATGTCAAACTAATCAGAGCCGAATCACAAAATAGTCCTCTAATTATTCAATATGGTGGCGCCCATGAAAGACAATTTTACAGAGGCGGTTTTGTTTGCGAAGACAAATTTAAGAGTATCTAACCTTGTTTAGAAAGATAAACAGATTGAAACTCTAAAGACAGTTTACAATGGGAAAGACTGTATTGCAATATTACCCACTAGCACATATTATATATCGCTTTTACCGGAGTGGCAGAAGTTGACATAATTGCCATCTTGACATATGTGTTTACATAAAACACGTGCTTCGGGTTATTTTTACTCTGTTGTGTATACAATGCAGCAGACCAGTCGATAAGTCTCACCCCAAAATGATCACGTGAGCGCTTTAAATGGAGGGTATTTAGGGCAGTGAGGCAGTGATCTAATTCTAGAAGTATGACGTAAATCGATCGCTGCGCGCAGTATGCGTTTCGTTAGGCGCTAAAAATCAAGATGTTTTTCGTCAATAAATATATTTTCAATTTTCACTTTGATATGCTGTCTTTTGAGAAAAAGTACATACAGAATTGAACAGTTCAAAAGCGCAAAGAATAACTAAAACATTAAAAATGTTATCACAAAGTGGCGTCATAGACGAAAATGGACCAATATTAGGCATCACTTTTATTGCGGTTTTCATCAGTTGGTAGGTGATCATAATTCACAAGTTTTGTGGGATACAGCGTAAACTTGTGGTATAGAACGTAAGCTAATGACCTAATTTTAAGCTTAAAATTGAAAACATTGAATTTTCTGAGTGTAACTTTTTTCTTTTTTTAAAGTTTTCGATCTGAAACTTTCAGAATTCGTTTTAGTGGGTGGATTAAGCCAAAAATGTCAAGCAACGAGGTCAGATTTTTAACTTCTTTAATATTGCCTTATTTAGAAATAATTATCAATAGAAGTCGTCTACCAACTTTTCAGAGTAATCTCAGCAAGTTAAAATCCACCGGAAGTGCCACCATTTTTAAAACGTCAGTCTTTAGAATTGTTCTCGTTCTACAATTCTTATCCGATATTTTTGGAAACCATTCACTATTGGCAAATGATCGGCAGAATTAGAATTTTGATATTTGCCCGAGAATTTTCTTAATATGACGTCATAAAATTGAATATTTTTTTTTTAAAAAAGGGTAAAACTTTGAAATCAGGTACAATTTCGATGCTAAACTAAGGAATAGGCCTAAGTCATTTATTGCTCATATTGAAAGTGTTATCAAATTTGGTTTGTGGATCCTCTAGAGGTCCCACATTTTATTAGATTTTAAAAACCGTTTAAATATTTACACCATAATGAAGTTGGATGTCAAATATCGGGAAAATAGAAACGAAACTGCCCGACAAAATAGCCGCTCCTTATACGCAAATCGTGTAAAAAGTATGTAATAAGAGGGGGGTGGATGGCCGAATGGTTAGCACGCGCGCGCTGTATACGGTCTGTCATTGAGTCAACTGGTGAGGTTTCGATTCCCCGGTTGTACGTGGCAAGGAGTAGGGTCGTCTGTCCAACCTTGTGGGTTTTCTCCGTGTTCTCCGGTTTCCCCCCAAGTTACTCGTAATCAGATTTTAGTGTTTTGTAAATGTTTTCATTTCTGACAAAAGAAAAAAAATATGCGACAACCCTTGTTGACTCGCCAGACGACGTAGCTGCTGTGGGCGTATGCTTTTATGCCTGCAAGTAACCTATCTTTTAACTATTATAGCGAGAACTGTCAACAGACCTCTTTATCTAATCTCCCATGATGTCCCTTTAATAATACTTGATCATCTAGAATTGGTCTTTTTAACCCATGCACTGTAGCTTAAAGTGAAGACATTTATATCCAAATTCTTAACTTAGTTGTTTTTATATTTTCATTTTTGGTTCCGTAATTTTATATATTCTTCTTTTTTTTTTGCCTTTGACTATTTACATGTATTTTTATTCTTATGTATGGTATCTTCTTTAAGTTTGTAAAGAGCATCCGGGAACTCTATAGGTGAAAGATGCGCTATTTAAATACACCATAATAGTAATTTCATTTTCTTTTCGTATGCAGGCCTATGTTATTATGTTGTCTTTTTGAATTGTAATTTTAATCAAATTTAAATTCCAAGTTGTACAATAGAAAAAGAAAATGTTTTGCATTTGTTAATTTATTAGATACTGGAGATGTATGTAACATTTTGGCATGTTGTGCATTTGAGTAATTAAATGAAAAGTTAGTAAAGAGCCAGCAACATTTCGGTCCCCGATAGTAATGATAGTTTTCCATTTAGGTCAACACCGGGACAAATCTGGGAATCTTATTGACGTTTTAAAATTCATAACTGGTAGCGTTGGCGTTGCCGTTATATAGTTTATCATCTTATCATGTAGCCATTGTCCGCAAAATAAAGACTAAAAGAGTGTCTAGTCTTACGGAAGGTTATCAAAACAGTCTAGGGGGAATCGTGTGGGCCAACTGTTGGCGTTCACGTGAAAGAACCATTAGAAACGCCGCCGTCAGGACAAAATTCTCCTTGTCGCACACTGATTTAATTGTGTATGCCCGTCTTCTTTGACCGAGTGGGTACCGAAAAGTAGGACGTTGAACCCCATTTCATTCCTAGCTCTGTGGTACGAAATCCAAAGCACATTTTTGAACATGGTCATTGAAAAACACTAATGACTTGATGATCGAGTCTATCAAGAGTTACCTCCCTTCAAGGTCAAGCTGGCTTGAAATCTGTGAAAATATCAAC